GCCATAATCAACTTTAGAAACGACACAGTGTTCCAGCATTGTGAAATTTTCGTGTCCAAAATACATAGGCCAGGGTGTCAATTTCTATTGAATTAGAGAGAATGGGAGAAGTCGTTTTAAAAGATTCTTTTTTCCCCCTTATGTGTTTTTGTGACTCTCTCCCCGCCCCCTCTTTCTTGAAGATGATCTCATGACAGCAAGTGAGGACAAACAAGAACAAAACAAAACACAAGAGCCTCAGCTTTCCCTTGGACTCTCATGTGCTCTCTCAGGTGCAGCGCTCTCATTCTGATCAAAGTAACGGCTACTGCTTGCTTGCTTTTAAAAAACATCATTTTACTGGGGCTCCTACAACTCTTAGCACAATCCATCCATCCATCCATTGGGTCAAGCACATTTGCGCATTTGTTGCCCTCATCATGGCTCAAAACATTTGCTTTCTGCTTGGCTTTAGTTGAGCCCAGAAACGAGACGGGGTGGGCGGTGCCGAGGGCCAAAAGCCAAGCCCCGGGCCCGTTCTCCCGCTAGACGTGACATGCCAATGTGTTTCGCTCGACACTTTTTAAAGCATGAAGTCTTTACTGCTTGAATTGCTTTCTCACTCAGTGACACTATAGGACAGGGTAGAACTGCCCTTATGTGTTTCTAAGACTCTTAACCAGAGTAGAAAGCCCCATCGTTCTCCCGGGGAGCAGTTGGTGGTTTCGAACTGCTGACCTTGTGCATCGCAGCCCAATGCATAACCCACTGTGCCACCAGGGCTCCTTTATGTAGTTTAATTTAAAATGAACTTTTATTTGTGTTTTTTTTCCTCCAATATTTACTGTTTTAGGTGACTATGTACACAGGAAATTAGGTTTCCATTCAATAACTTACACACATTGTACTCTAACATTGGTTGCCATCGCGGGGACGTCAGTCTCCCCATTTCCACTCAACCGTTCCTGGTCCGTCTCTCCAATTTCCCTGTTCTCCCTTTACTTTCTCATGTTGGCTTTTGGGCAAATGTTGCTCTTTCAGTCTTGTAGTTGGCTGTTCTAAGGAGCACATTCCTCGTGGGTGTCTTATTGGCCATTTATGCAGCTGAGAGGTGACCTCTGGGAGTAGCTTCAGTTCCAGGTGGAAAGGGTGCCTTAGCACGACAGCCTTGTGGGTTGTTTCCATCTCTATTAGTGTAGTAAGTCTGGTGTTTTGGTATGACTTCTAACCACGGTCTTCTATGGTGCTCCTGGTCAGAGCAGGCACCATCTAGTTCCTGTGGGCCATCAGTCCTGTGAGTTAATTGCTTCTTTGAATCTTTGATTTCCTTCACTCGCCTTTGCTTCAGATGGGAAGAGACCATGCGTTATAGCTTGGACGAATGCTCCTAACCCTTTAAGACCCTGTGTGCTACTCTCGGAACTAGCATGTCACTCAGTGTCCTTATGAACTACGTTCTGTCCATTCTCCTGGCAGGGCATGATTCTTCAGTCTCCCTTACCCCAGCTTTCCCATGCACACGAAGCGCTGAACATGCCATGGTGTGAACCAGGCATGCCTTAGCCCTCAGAGGGAGATCTTCGTTCTTTAACACTCCGAAGAGGTCGTTCGTAGTAGAATCCCCTCTGCAAGCTGATTGCTTGACTGCTGCTGTCATGGGTGTTGATGGTATGCATATCCAAGTAAAATGAAATCCTTGACGATTCCTATCTTTTCTTTGTTTTTCACGATGTTATTTATTTGTCCAGGTGTCAAGATTTTTGCATTCCTTAGGCTGAAGTGGAATCCCCACTGAAGGCTGTAGGACATATAGGAACATACAAATTACCACTATATCTATGTATGCACACCATACACTCTCCCGTAGCTGGACAGCACACACACTCACCCAGGAAATCACTCACACATTTTCCCGTGGCTGCTACAGTTCTTGCTGAAAGGCTTATCTTAGAGCGTTCAACATTCCCGGGTCTCGCTGATCTTGTCTACCTCCAGGGTCTGCATTTACCTTGGCACAACATTGCGCTGACGCCCCCAGGTGGCGTATCGGTGTTCCTTTCACCAGAATTAACGTGTCTAATAACCATCAGAAAATGCTGCTTTCTGGGTGTAAACCTACTCTGAACTTCTTATGAAAAATGATCTCACACCGTATCTGTCCTTTTGGGATTAGCTGATTTCATTCAGCATCACATCCTCAGGCTTGTTCATGTTTTGCGTCATCATCATGATACGGTCTTGATGTGCAATATTCCACTGTAAATATGCACATTTTGTTTATGCCTTCATCTGTTGTTGTACACAATTAGGTTGCCCTCCCCCCCACACTTTTTCCCCCTTGCTGCTGGGGATAGATCTATTCCTCGTGGATTGAATATCTTCTTGTTTAACATTTTGCGTTTATGACAATATTGGGAAAGACTGACCATTTTGCACTTTAGCTTGGTTTCCTCCGGAGCCCACTCCTAGTGTCAGAGCCAGCTCTCCAGAGGCCGCTTGCTGGTCCCATTCCCACCGCTGGAATCACTGTGGCTGTTCTTCATGCACAGGAGGCAACTGAGGCAGAGTTTGAAGGAGCTCCGTTCTGAAAAGGACGAGCAAGTAGCTAGAAAGGCCGAGGAGGAGGGGAGTGTGGGCATGGTTATTATTGATGTGTGTACACGAGTCCTGGAGTGACCAGGTTGTGCGGCAAGAAGGGCACCATAGGAAGTTCAGGGCATAGGGCTGCATCGAAGGCTGTCTTCTTCCTCTTCTTCTTCTTCTCCTCCTCCTCCTCCTCCTCCCTCCCCCTCCCCCTCCTCCCATTCTTTCTATAACAAAAGAAAACTTTACAACAGTGTATACTGTTTAGGAAATAGGGTTTTCTTTTGATATAATTTGGATTTTGTTTTCTTTCTCAATTTGGAAACGAATGGAAAATACAGAAAAGTACAAAGACTAATATAAAAATACTATCAGATGCATTAACTTTCATCATCTATATTTCAAAACTTGATGGGAATTAGAATGAAAAGAAAATGGGATTTGTTTCCATGAACTTTTAAAGTCTGCTTGTTGTTATTTTGTTTTTAAGAAATATTATAGGTATAGTTGAAGTCCTCTCTCCATTTATTTTTAGCCCCCTTCTCATTAATTTAGTTTGTAAATACATTTGTGCAATAAATAAATTTATAGTCTAATAAATACATTGGTTTGTTTGGTTGGTTACCAATAAAACACCTTTTTATTATCTAAACATTAATTAAAATTAAGTGGATTTTCATGTAGTTGTTAACATGCTCACTTTATGATAATAAAAAGATTATTTGTTGAAGAGAGGCCATTGGAAAACCTTGGACCTAAATTTCTAAAGAGAAAAGCCTCCGCTTTTGAAAGTAACTGTGACAAGCTCCACTCTGACTGAGTGTCTTGTCCTCTGGGTCTTGGAATCTGACGGACTCCAAGTTCACGTTCCACGGCTCAGTGTCATCTTGTTGTTTACCTGACCTCAAAGACAGAAAGTCAGCAGCAACCCAAGCAGACCTGTCAGCAGAGGAGGCAACTGTGCGCTACAAAATAGATGCAGAAATTGGATAACTTCACACATGACTACAGCTCTTTTAAAGTGTCAGATTGCATTCAGAGGAGATGGAATATATTTTAGAGGTGCAATAGATGAACAGAGACATATCTTTTTGAAAGTTTATATCAAAAACATTTGAGATTTTAAAAGTGTGCGTAGCTTTGGGGGTGCTGGTGGCCACACAGCCCAATTGTTCTGTATTCTGACAGTCATTTACTAAGAGGGGGAGGACCTTGGGTCCTCGCATCCAGTGCCTCCTGGTAAAAGCGTGAGACTGACCGTCCTCATCACCTGGAGATGTTGTGAGACTCAAGTGAGATCACTCCCTCACTTGGAGCGTAGGAACTGCCCCACGGCGTAAGCACCTGGCCGTGCTAGGTCATAGTCGGAGTGGCAGTAGGTGGTAGTGGCATAGAAGGTGCTCCGAGCCTCACACCCAGGACACGCTGCATCAGCAGGGACTCGGATAAGCAGTGTCTTCTAACTCTTAAAACACAGCCTGCTTTTAAGGCACAGAGGCAAACTCACATGCCCCTCACAGAAAGCGAGTCAAGGGAAGCCAGAAGGAGCTAATTGCCTTGATTAGCTTATTTGGGAGCAATTTGTCTAGGTTCCGAGGGGCAGAATCAAGAGCCGCCTAGACGGTGCTCTGAAAAGGCAGCGAGACTCACCCTGCGTGATCCTCAGGATCCGTATTTCTCAAAGCCCTTCCAGACCCTTGAGCGAACCGAGTCCTCCCAGCAGCGCCTGGGAGGGCAGCTTCTCAAGGTGCCCGTTGCTCTGGGGAGGAAGCTGAAGTACAGACAATACGCGCTGCCTCTCAAAGTTGCTCTCCCGGGAAAGGAGACGCCGCCACCGCACTCCTGCTTCCTGGGGGGCTTTGGTAAAGCACCTGTGACCCCAGGAAATGTCGGGCGGCTAGGTTTTACACAGTGTGGGGACCACATAATTTCCCCACTTTTGTTGTTACCTTATGTGTTGGGGTCAGCTTACCTCTAAATCCCACTGCAAAGCCTTCTCCATCACACATGCAGAATGCGTGTGTACACGTGTGCATACATGAACGCACACAGGCAGTGTCTGATGGAAGAAGTGATTTGTTTCTCACTTTTTATTTCTCTCTAAAGGTGCTTTGAAAAGATGAGAAACTTTGGAGACTGATGTGGGTCAGTCAAATTCTGAGGGCATTAAATCACCTTTTTTGGCCTGAAGTCTGAAAAATAATTCACTCGCAATGGGGGTGCGTGGGTGGGTGGGGAGTGCTTTTTCAATGTTACGGAAGCCTGCTTCTGTTTCCTTTTTCTGAAAACGAGATTTCATTTCGGTTATAAAGGAAGACCACAGAACTGCCCGTGCTGTGTCCAGCTGCAACCCGCCTCCCATCCTGCTGCCCGCCAGCCAAAGGAAGGGACATCAGGTGACAGACCCCACATTTCCACTAGTCACACAAATTACAAACCTTCCTATCCTGGCGTCCTCTTGACCTTCTGCGCTTGCCCTACAAAGAAGACCGAGACACAGTTTAAATCAAAGTGACTCTCATGGGCAATTTTACAAAACCAATAGAAAGCAAATCCACGCCCCCAAGCCCCCACCCCTCTCTCCCCTGCTGGGCCAGCCTGTTCCTTCTTTCCATGCAGGCAGCAGCTCATAATTAGAAAGACCTTTCCCACCCTTGACAAGGATGCCCTGCTTGCCAAGAGTCCTGTTTGCTCAGAAGAAAGGGTTTGGCAAAATATTTACAACAATGAACACCATCGGCGGGTTCCCTCACAAGGCTAGACGTGTGGCAGTCTCTCTCTGGGCTCTTTCCCCTCGTGCCTGGGGCGCTTCTCCGCCAGAGCAGGAAGAATTACACTTAGGGCTGACGAGCTTATTCCGAACTCTGTCAGTCTGGGACCACAGGAAAGAGTCGAAATATCCCTGCCCCTGACAGGAGGGGAAAGCTTCGTTAACTCCACAGAAAGGGGAAAAGGCAGGACTAACTAGGACTTAGAAAATAGATCACTATTTAACATTTAGTTTTGCGTTTGAGGAGGAGGTTTGTTTTTGTTTTTGAGGCAGAGTGCGTACTGGCTAAACCGGAGTCCTCGTTTCGGTGGGACCTGTAGCTCTGGGCTCCGTAAACTGCAGCCCTCAGAACCGAACACGGTGAGAAGCACAAAGGTGCCTCGCCTGCTCCATTTGTGCCCACGAGCCCCGGCCCCGCACAGCCTGGGAAGCAGCTGAGTTGGAAACGATCACCGTGCAGGCCAAACACTAGCCTGAGGGGCTGTCTGTCTTGGGATTTGGCCATTTACATTGATTTTTTTTTTCTTTCTTTAACCCACATTTTTTTTCATGAGACACAAATATTTGCCATGGCAACCAGGGTGCCATGTGACACACAGCTGACATCAACCGCCTGGAAGTCCCCGAAGGGAAACACCCCAAGCGAACACCCTGAGGAGGACTGAGCATTCAAAGATCCAGGTCAGGGAAGAACAGTCGACAGTCGTTTGTACACAGTAGGACTGACTTCTCTGCTGCTCCTCCGTTTTCATTTCTTTTTGCATGGGAGCAGCTGGAAGTAGAATGACCACACAGGGGACGCCCCGGAAAGTGGCACTGCCAGCTGCCTTGCTTCTGGGGCGACAAGTTTCAGTGGTCACACGCTTCTTTGTGGCCCGTAAGCACAAGAACGCAAGACAGAATCACAGCAGGTCAGCATCTTCAGATAGGGGCCTCTCCCGAGGCAGGGGCTCTGGATGCTCAGCCGTGAGGTCTGAATGTTGGATAACACGGAAAGCCTGCCCCTGGCGCATTAGAACAATCCAGTCAAGGTTGGGACACTGCCTTTCGATCCTCTGATTAAAACCCCACCGCGAAAGAGAGTACAACCTCGCACTCTCACATCCTATCAGAATAGAGCTCGGATTGTCTATCCTTCCCCCCCAGGCTATGGACTGGTGAGCTAAATGAGATTAAGCTGACCCAGTTCTTCGGTTGATTTCAAAATCATACAACACCATCGAGCTTTTTTTCCATACCCCACATTGTGTCAGGCATTTTCCCGCAACCTCATCCCTCTTTAAAAATTAAATGCATCCCAGCAGAAGTTGAAATAGAACTTGCTTCTCTATGAAAAGTACAACTCCATCGTATGTGCATCTTAGCAAGAAACCCACTAACAATATTGTATACGAGAACAAACTTCTTTGTGCAGTTATGAAGATAAATACCTTTGGTTTTTGCTTCTTGAGAGGGGATGGCTTCGCTTGTGCTGGCATCCACACGTGTCTCTGGCATGGGCTGGAAGAGGCTGTGAATGGAGGTGATGTGAAGTGGTTGGCACGGCATTGAAAAAAAGGAGTAAAGTGAAAGGAATCAGTCTATCCAATGTCAAGGCCAGTTAGATAGGTAACCAAGACTGTGTGGCATTGGTGGCGGGGTAGACACATGGAACAAAAGAACAAATCGAAAGTTCAGAAATACACCTACGCAAATCAGCTCACCTAACTTTTTTTTTACAAAGGGACGTCTTTACGTAAGAGAGGGCGAACAAGGACCTCAACCAAAGTCCCATCAGAGACAAATGTTAATTCAAATGATAGACTAGGGAGCCTTTAGTGAAAAGCACACGACAGCATCTGGGTGGCGTCTGTAGACGTGACACCAGAAGCATGGTCGATAGAACAACCCCCTGAAGAACTGCACCGCATCAAAAGGAAGAGCGTTTGCTTTGTGAAGGGCCTGCGAGGGCCAACCGTGAACGGCAGGCGAGGAGGAGGGACTTCAACCTCTCTGAGGAAGGGGAGCCGGACAACGCAGGAAGCGCTCGCAACACGCAACGGTGCACTATCAGCAATCTAAGTAGAAAACATCCCAAGAGGATGTACAGATGGCAAACAAGCCTTTGAAAAGAGGTTCGACATCATTAGCCACTGGGGAAATGTGAATGAAAACTGCCATTGCATACACTAACACACCTATCAGATGGCTAAAATTAAAAAAAAATTTCAAGTGACTATCTGAAATGTTGGTGAGAATCCAGAGAAACGGCATTACTTAAAATTGTTGATGAAAATATAAAAAGGTACTTTGGAAACAGTTTGGCAGTTGCTTAAGACAAAACAAAAAACGTCTGACTCGTTCAACAGCGCAATCTCACTCTGAGCGTTCACCCCTTTCAGAGAAACGAAAACTTACGTTCACGCAACCCCCTGCAGCAATGCGTGTGGTCCTTTTATCATCAGGACTAGAAATGGGAAACACCCAGGTGCCCTTCAAGGGGTGAACGGTTAAACAGCTGTGGTATGCTAATACTGTGAACTGCTACTCAGTAAAAAAATAAAAAGATAGAAAAAAGAACAAACGAGTGATATACAAAACAATCCGCCTGGTCTCCACAGGATTATGCGGAGTGGAAACGAGCCAAGCTGGAAATATTTCATACTGCGTGATGCTGTCTCTGTAACGGTCTGACAGTGCCCCAGCTCTGGAAATGGAGAACAGGCAGATCGGACTGCCCGGGTGGAGGCAGCTGTGGGGGAGGAGGGACGCAGGTGTGTTTATAAAAGTACAGCAGGAAGAATCCTTGTGCTGATGGAAATGTCCTATCTCTTGGCTGCAAGAATATCCAGCTTGTGATGCTGTTTTGAAAGATGTAAACACTGGAGAAAATGAGGGAAACGATACGGTCATTAGGCAAAATCAGAAGTTTAATTAAAAAGAAGATGTGAATAAAAGAGTGAAATGCTGAACAACAACATATGGAAAATATTTGCAATATATATATAAGTGGTGAGAGATCAATGCTCAGAATATAGTAATAATTCCTATAGATCACTAAGAAAAAACAGACAACATTT